GGGGGGATGGCCATGCCACAATCCCTTCTCCTCTGTTCTCCTCTCGGGATCTTGGGCACTCACGCACGCGTGCCCAGCCATTGGGTCCGGACGCAAAACGCGGTCGACTACATGGGAGTCCAGCATCATAGCCATTACACTAACTGCTGGTCCCCCTAATAAACTTTTAAGAGTATAGTTTAGGTTATGGGAAGTTTGAAATGCTTCTTGGGCATTTGGACCTGGTCCAGGACTCGAACCGTGGTCAACTACACGGGAGTCCAGTGACATAGCCATTACGCTAACTGCTGGTCCCAAGATGTCTTGTAGAGAGCTAGGTGTAAAGGCCTAGAGGTTGGGGTGAGGACTAGGCTAGGGAAAAATTAGGAGACATCAGTTTAGTTTTTTTTTTGTTTGTTTGTTTGTTTTTTTAAGTTTTACTATAGGGCTTGTGCACTTGCCAGAGCGATGGGGTCAGGGGAGTGAGAAATCACCCCCTGCTCCAATAATCCCTTCTTCTCCATTCTCCTCTCAGGATTTGGGACATCCATGCACGCATGCCCAGTGTGATTTTCAAGTCTCCAGGTCCAGGATTTGAACTGCTCGGTCAGCCATGTGCGATCCAGCTGCCTTAACCACCACGCCACCTGCTGGCCCAAGAAGGCTATCAAGAAGAAGCTATAAATGCACAAAGACCAGGGATCTAGTTGGGGACCCCCTACATCAAAAGTGAGGAAGGTGGGAGGAAAACCAGAGCATGGGGGTCCAGAAGGTTCTGGAAGCTGAGTGAGAAAGGGCTTCCCTGGGGAGGGGCAGCTGATAGGGCTGGATGCTGTGGAGCCAGTAGGTGAGCAGCAGACAGCGGGGCAGTGGAGGCTTGCTTCACTGAGCACGAGACAGGGCCTTGGTCTGAGTTGATGGGAACGCCTCCATCTTCCTGTGTGTGTGTGTGCACGTGTGCGTGGTGTTTTAGACAGGTTTGCTGTGTCACCACCTTCCTGCCTCAGCCTCCTAAGCAGCTGGAACTGTGACTCCGGGCTCCTTAGTGTGGGCCAGTGGGAAACTGGGTCTCCCCTTTGGCCTCAGCATCCAGCAGTGGACGCTACTGCAGCCAGACCTGTGATGAGGATTTTTTAAAAAAGAATTCATATAATTTAATTTATTATTATTATTATTATTTTAATTTGCTATAGGGCCCACATGCACATCAGAGCAGAGAGAGAGAAAAAGTAAGAAAGCAAGTTGCCAGGTCCGGGACTTGAACCACAGTTGACCATGCGGGAGTCCAGTGCCCTAACCACCACACCACCTGCTGGCCTCTGCGATTGGAATAGTTTTTTTGGAGAGGGGAGAGATTTTTTTATAGGGTGCGTGCACTTGTCGGAGAGACAGAGAAAGTCAGAGAGACAGAAAGCAAGAAATCACACTCCCAGGAGGAATGGCCCCCCCGCCATGCTCGCACATGCACCCAGCGTGAGTTTCGAGCCTCTGGGTCCTGGACTGAACCACCGTCGGCCATGTGGGAGTCCAGTGACGTAACCACTACATCACCTGCCAGTCCTAGAAGACTTTCTATCCCTCACGGGGCAGTCCCATTCCTGTCATGCCTCTGGCTTCACGCTGACTTTCCTACTCCAAGATGACGTGGTCCATGTGGCACTCATGTGTGTCCACGTGGGGCCCAGAGGAGGGTTTCGTGACTCAGGGACTGAGGCGAGATTGGACCCCAGAAGGACAGCCAGTTGGGCTGCAGACACTGAGTTAAGAAAGGCACTGGGGTCAGAGGACCCATGGGTAGGGACGGAGACCCAGGACCATTCCCCTCTTGGGCTCGGTTTCCTCATCTGTAACTAGGGTTTACACGCCGGCTTCTTGAAGGGCTGGGGAGGACCCCTGGGTGTGAAGGAAGGGGCAGCCCTCGGTGAGCTGGACAGGGCTGTGCCCAGGATCAGGGCTCACCATGCCGCAGCCCGGTCTAATCCGATCTCGCTGCCCTGGACAGATGGAGAACGGGGCCAGAGAGTGCTATTCCGAGGCTCAGGGACCCAGGAGAAACAGGGGCCCATCAGCCTGGGCCCCATGTCCTGGTGGCGGAGTGGGACCCTGGCATTGTCTACCTAAGGCTGGCCTTGGAGGGACCAGTGCATCTCCAGTGAGCCAGCGGGAGGAGTCCAGGGTGGGGACTGGAAGGTACTGAGGGGGTGGCCTGGGCCTGGTCCTGCTCGTTGCAAATGAACCACAGCCCCTAAGGAGTAGCACAGGAGAAGCAATTTGCAGACTGAGACGCGCCTTACGACAAATGGCGGTGAACAAGCATCACACTAAGTCTGTAGAAGGCTGTGACCCTGAGTGGCTGCACTTGAGGGGACAGCCCTGCACGTTCTCAGACCTAACTTTTTTTTTTTTTTTTTTTTTGGGAGGTTTTTCTTTTTGGGGGGTGG